TGTTTTTCATTTATGTGTGTGTGTAGCATATTATACAAGATTACCATACTTACAAACACTAATTACAATTTAAGTTAATTCAAGACCCAAATATCCAGTTCTTTCTGGATACATGTATTTTATATTTTATTGTGTTGTACTTTTTAGGAATTTTTTAAGAGTCAGTCTACAAACAAAGGATGTATAAAATAACCACAGGTTTTCTGTTAAAGAAAGACTAAAGAGAGTAAAATGTCAGTGTTACAGTGTTTAATCCCTATGCATGCATACATACTGAGGTAACTCCTTGTAACTCTCCAGAGGCTGCGTACAATTTTTTATGATTATTTCAAAAGACAATAATTTAAAAGTGCATGCAAAACATAAATTTAATAGGTAATGTTCATTTTGTTGCAAAAAATAAATAAATGTGGTTTCCAAGTTAAAAGTTGTATTTATCTCTCAGAAGCGACAACCTTCAGTAGGTAATCCGACATGAAACTAACACTCTAGATTCTTTTATAACGTCCATCCATTCATGTTCCATACCTGCTTGTCCTGCGCAAGGTCAGGGGGGTGGGGAGCTGATCCTGGAAACTTCAGGCGCAAGGGAATAACCCAGGATGAGGTGCTAACCCATCGCAGCCCTTTAAAAAATATTTTTAAATATAAGGCCATGGTGCTATAAGTGACATATTGTTAACAATTAGGAAATAAATTACATTTCAACCCATGATACCACTGTTACAAGCAGGGCCACATGCCCTCCCCCCCATTCTCCAAACCAAAGGTACCATTATCCACACTCACACAAAGTTGGGCCCCCCATAGTGTCTGAGCTCCTGATAGTCTTCCCCCTTCTCTTCCCTTAAAGGCTGATTAATATTTCTGCACAGAATCAGTGCCATGGGCACAGCATAGCTGTGTGTCCTACACCCTCACCTGATGTTTACCTCCCCAGATATGTGACTACATGCTGCGGCAATGCAGACCACAACAACTGTGATTGTTCTGCTTGGCAGCATCAGACTTCCTCCTTCGCAAATATTTTGTTGTTGATCACTTCCTGTTGTGGGGATGCTTAGTGAGGACCAAGTTTATTTAGCTTATTGCTAGCTTGCTGTTTTTGCCACGGTCGCATTCGTTCACGCTAGGGCTGCATGATATTGGAAAATTTCAAATACCACAATGCGATTTTTTTCTTTGCGATAAATATTGCAACATTTGTAAAGCAAAAATGGAGTTCAGAATAAGTACATTTCTCACAAATCCCTCTATGAGTGATTTAAACAGCAAGGACAAAAATGTCTAATAAAGCAAACTCACATACCCACGATGGTAGGGGAACACAGTTCTCAGCCGCACGATCAGCCAATTCAATCCCAGGGAGCAAGGGAACACACTAGGGACTGTGACAATTACCAAACACAGAAATTAACGGGATGGCCAGCGACACCTACTGGCCAAAAAAGGAAACAATGAATTGAACAGGACAAGACAGGGACTGATACTGACAGAAGTCAAAGAAAATTTGTTGATTGTATCAGAATGAGGCATGAGCTTTAAAATGGTTGAATAATTTACTTGACTATTATAGTTATTTAACAACACTAATAGATCAAATTATTGTGGATGAGATACACCAGGACACTAATAAGAAAGTCCAGTGGAAATCGTTTCAAACATCATGCTCTACTGTATCAGATAAATATACTCCATTGATTCAGTGACAATACAAACACAATGAAATTAACAATAATCAGGTCTGCATCTGGCTTTTACGTTTGTTAATAATCCACCATGAGTGTGGCATAAATGTTTCGGCACTAGGCCAACATTAGTGTGTGTCAAACGAAGAATGCAAAAGCCATCCAGGTTCTGAACCGATTCTTGTTAATTTGATATGGGAATAAGAATCAATGACAATGTTTGCTGCAAAAACCGAAACATAATATGCAGCTTTTACTATATTTACAACCTGGGCTGTATGGACTACTGTGCCCCCCCCCCGCTCTACAGCTTTGCAGACCCACAAACCCATCGACCCATCAGGAAAATGCCCTGTGTGCTAGATGGTCAATCCATGCCTGTCTACCACATCAAAACCAAAAACCATGAAGTGTGCAACAGCTGTACAGTCAAATGACTGTAGGCCAGACCTTCACAGGGCATAAGGCCCAGGGTTGCCAACTAAACCTAAAATTAGCTACATCGAAAGTGTTGGGGTCGTTTGTAAACCCTACAGACTGTTTACAAGGTAATGAAACTCTTGCATACATGTAAATGCGTGTGCATTTATGTGCAGACTTGTCTTGAATTGAAAATCTTACTCTAGCCAGTTGACCAAAGTTGGCCTCCCAGAAGCCCTTATTGCTGCTTGCGGACCCCATTGTCTGTCATAGAGCCACAATGCATCAAATTCTGAAATCGCACTGGCATTGGAGCTTCTAGTCCCACAAAAACAGCTAGAGAAGGAATATTGTTGCAGCACATAGCAGTTTCAGAAAGAACACATAACATTACATATATAGAAGCAGCTCCTGGCACAGAGAGCAAGTTTTTACATTAATATTAATGTAGCTATGAATATATTTTTTAAAATATCCAGATCCCACCACACTAGATCAGAAACTATGTGAATTATTATAACTCAACTTCGATAGTGAGTGATCTTGAATATAAAATCAGAAGGTACGCATATATAAGTGCCCTTTCATCATGTTCAAAGGTCTCTCTGGTAGACCTTAGAAATATACCCTAGGAACATTTCACAATGACATACACAGACAACATTTTTTTTTTTTTACAGTACAGTCCCAAAAGATATTTCTTTTTTAAAAATTAACCAACATTCCATAGAGCCAGCGTTTCATGAAGATCCAAGTTGATGTTGCCTCACAAAAGAATTTTCCCTCATTCAAATGATTGCACGTCTGTGTGGCTTTATTTAAAAACATCCATCATCCGTTTTGTTAGAGTCAGCCGTCAGCCTCAAAATACATATTCAGTTGTTTGCTTGCAATGTGACGAATGATGTTTCTTAAGAATGCCTTTTTTTTACAGATAGATCTCCACAATGCTGTTAGACCACATCCTTTGGTCGCCTTAGAAACACAGGCTTTTTTAAAAAACACCTCGCAGGGCAGGCTTCTTCAGCTAACACACATGAGAATTTTACACTGCATTCTGAGATGAAGAACTACAGCAACCTTATTCCTTTCAATCCATCATCTCCTAACGGGAATCGATTGAAAGCAGACTCAGACAGTATCAAAAGCATCCTTCACCATTGGGAAATTGATGTGTTTTTGCTACTTTTAAATGCCATGTGCTGTTTTACTAACCACCAAAAGTGAAGATACTATGTCCTTTTTGTATTAAACATGGATGGTACAAGAAAGTAACACCACATAAACATTAACAGATTCACACAACACCTCCACAATATTACATTTTGGACACCAGTCAACATTGTACATCATCACAAAGAAAATGGGTCATTAAAAACAGAATAGGGGATCCATCCATCCATCCATTGTCCAAACCGCTTATCCTACTGGGTCGCGGGGGTCCGCAGAATAGGGGATTTAAAACAATATTCATTACAATTTTTTATTAAATATGAATAGGGTTATAACAACCATAGATAATAAATATAAGAACCATAATAATAAATAATAAAAGATATAAATAATTAAGTTAAAAATTGACAAAGGTGTTCAGGTGTGTTGTTTTATTAAGGCCTGCAGTGTTAGATAGAGACTGAGCCTGGAGTAAGGGCCAATATGACTGTGAATAACAGAATTTTGGTGAAATAGTGGACTTCAGAGTATAAACCTTCCAGGTGTTTTTTCTTAATATTGTATATAGGATTAATAAATGATCACAGGTGTAAAGTTCAGGTCCAGAAAGTAGAAATCCAGGCCAAAGTTTTGTTTCAACCAACCAGCTGAGTACTCTGTGATTGTGACTCTTTATGCTGAACTGGTTGGTTGAAACAAACCCATGGTCTGGATTTGTACTTTCTGGACCTGAACTTTCCACCTCTATAAATGATGTAGCATAGAATAAAGAATGTGGCTTGGATGTAATACAATGAGAAAGTTGATCCACACTTGTGAGCATTGATTGTTAGAGTGAGACTCATGAAAAGTGAGCACCTACATGTTCGAATATATTGTGAAAATGCACGGCAGGCAGCTGGGAGACTCACAAACCATCTGCTGCATGCGAGCCGGCGCACCTGCACTAGATGAGTTAACCAGACTCAGGTGCCGCCAATTAGGGTGCCGTTTAAACAGGCCTCTGGAGACCCACGGAGGAGAGGAGGAATCACAGGGGCGCTGATCAGCTCCTCTTTGCTTGGTGGTGCCTGTAGCGACCCCCCCCCCCTCCCTCGTTCGTTCTGTGAGACGTGGGTAATGACTGTGTTTTGAGTCTGTAAATGAGACTGGGTTCTTGCCTCAAAGCGGTTCTGCGTTTTTGTGTAGGTGTGTGTTACGACATGGACAGCTGTAGAAGTTCAGAGGACTGGGCCCTATATATTCTTACCCCAGCATGAAATGTCATGTCAAATGGATTAAACCAATACCCTTATTTTGGCTTTGGTTATATTGTCACTCTATGTCTCTACAGTGCAAGGGATGCCATTATTACCACTGGGTGCTATTTCCAGTAATGCTCATTGATTAAATTCACAATCGCACTATACAAAAGTGAACGGTCTTGCTTAGTGCTTTTCCTGCGTGGACTGAATTTACATTGTACGCACATACAAACAGCACACGCGATAACACAAAACAGCTTTCGTTTGACTTTTATTGAAATAATTACAGAGTGTGAGCAAAACTCTCATGAATGTGTCCATGAAAATAACTGCAACCACAACCATAATACTAAAAACAAAAAGTAAATGAATCTGAAAAATAAAAGGATAAAATGCATTTGACAACTGAATAATAAGTGCAAAGGTCAATGAGAAGGTCTGTAACAGGAGGAGGTCAGCATGCGCTAGTGTTTTTCCCGCCATATTTTCATTTGGCAATTTTTATATACACAGAATATGTAAGCTGGAGACTTGGAAATAATATGTTACTATGAAAGCCTGTTTTATGTATTTTCATATTTCCTTTTTAAAATATGTCTCTATATTAAGGTTTGCCTGTCTGTAATTGACAGCTTGCTGCTTGCACCAGTTGATATGTTCTCTCAAAGCTGTTTTCAGATCTTCCCTGAATACAGGACGACACGCTGAGCTCTCGGCGTCTTAAAGCAGGCAGCTGCCGTGGAAAGTTTATTCTTCACACCGGAGCATGACGACACCATCTTAAAGTCTGCGATGCAAAAAATAATTTGCATGTATTTGTACATTTTGTCTGTGTGCACTTGTTTTTTTTCGTGCATGTTTCACGTGCATGCTTCTTCGGTCGCCGGTGTTTTGTGTGCTTAAATGTGTTTTATGTACATGGGCCTCTTAGTACGGTCTCTGTCCACCATAGGTCTTCCTGGAGACTGGCTAGGTCAGGGGTAGGCAACCCAGATTCTGGAGGGCCGGTATCCAGCAGGTTTTCTATCCTACCTTATGAGTTACTATCTGCCTGAGACCTGGTGTGGTTCCTCAGACACCAGGTAGGATGGAAAAGCTGCTGAACACTGGCACTCCAGTTTCAGACTTATCTACCCCTGGCCTTCCTGTAAGTTATGAGGGATCTTTTTTTATCTTGAGACCACTAGGGATTACTTGGGGTGGGGTTGTGAGGGTTGAGGGGGTGTCTGGCTGGGGGGGTTAGAGGACTTTGATGAGAGGCCAAGAGTAGTGAGGGAACAGTTTGGTCCTCTGTACATAGCTGAGATGGGGAGGGACTAGGTGCCTCTCTTGGGGGGCTCAGCAATGTCATCCAGTAGGGAGGGAAGGTCCTCCTCCATTTTTTCGAACACCGCTGCCATGTGCTTCTCGATCTGCTCGATGGCGCTGTCCATCTGCCAGTCGCTGCTTCTTCCCGCTGCCTTCCCCAAATCGAGAGACGTAGCACCACTGGGACAAGGGGAGCGGCGATGGCCCGGGCTTGGCATCTCACCCTGTTTCTGACCTGATGCGTCATTATTGTCCTCAAGTCCTGGAGAACCTGCTAACGTGCAGGAATTTTCACCTTTTCTGGTGCTCATGCTCAGTTTAAGGTCCCCTCCATCTTCACCAGCATCGCTGCTTTTTCCTTTCAGATCTTTAGACCCGTTCAGTGAAATTCCCTTTTCTGGCATGGCCCCAGGAAGCTGCGACTGGCAGCAGCTTCCTGTAGACACATCTGGCATCTTCTTATCTGCCAGCGATGGTATCTTCTGAACTGCTGTTGGAGTCACTGTCATTGCAGTAGGCCCTGAGCAATCATTCAGTTGTGGAGAGATCACTGGCTCCCTCTTTTGGCAGTTCTGGGTCACTGCACCGCATGAATCCTTCATCCCCTCGCTGTTGTAGGTCTTCTGATGGGCACTGGATGCTCTGTGATCTGACACCATCGCACGGTCAGGAGGTGATGACATTTTTTGTGGGTCTTGCTTTTCTTTCCCAGCAAGCGGTGCTTCTTCCATGCCTGTCACTGTTTCCTTCTTCCCCCCATCACTGTCCGTGTCTGCCCCTTCACCCATTGATTTCAGCAAGGCCTGTGGTTTTGTTGAGCAGATTTCTCCTGCACCACCATCTCCTGTACCTCCACAGCATGTGCCTCCTCTTACCTTTTCCACATCCCCATTTTCACCTCCCTCCTCCTCTTTTTCGGCAATGGCTTTGCTTTCAGACTGCCCTCCTTGGGAAAGTTCTACGGTGCTCCCTGAAGCCACCTCCTCCATGTCCACCTTCCCTTCTACTTCATTCCCAACCTCTGCTCCACCGTCTTCATCACCCGGCCCTCCGCTGGACTCCATGGAGCGGAGCCGCTGCATGAAGGTAGTGACGCGAATCGCTTTCTGCATGAGAAGAAAAGAGGTAAGAGAAAGGGAATGAGTCAGAGAACAATGTCTACACCTCAGAAACAATGAATGTGTTGGGGCTGATTTGCACAGTGCTGTGTGTGTGAGGATCTGTTTTGTCAGGTGAGCCTTTAATTACTTATGTCTGTTTAAACTGGGAAATATTATTACAAGTGAAATAATGTCACAAGATAAAAATTAAAATCCTTCAAATTAACTTCTCACTACTATTCAGTTGCAATTTGAATATGCTGATGGAAACTGACAGAAAATGCACATTTTATTTGCCTAGAGACACTTTTTATCCAAAGCAAAATGCAATTGAGAAAACGGGATCCGACATTCCCCAGAGTAATTGAGAATCGTTTGGAAGCTCAAATCCCTTTGCCATTTTGGGATTTGAACCAACAACTTTATAATCACAGGCACAGTGTCCCAACCATTAAGCAACACACTAGTTTGTGTTAGTGGTTAATATTATTCATTTTGGAATAAATGTGTAATCTGTCTCTGCTTCATATGTTAAAGCAGGAACATTGGCATTTTGTCTTTTCAATAGTAGAGGCTCTGAATTGCTATTTAAGGTCACATTAAAGCAAATCTACCATGAGTCAGATATCTGGATCAGACTGACAGACTGCTCCATGCTTACTGTATCTTCATAGTCTGCAGCTTGTGCTCTATACAAAGAAACCCTCACCTGATGTGCCCTTTCAAAACACTCCTCTACATTGATGATTTACAATATTTTATAAAGGCATAATGCCTTGCTTCTTTAAACTGGCATGACATTTTCTGGGTCTTTTCCCATCTGAAATTGTCTATTAATTTGCTTTTTTTTTGTTTACAGTATCTTTCCTTCTCTCTGCTTCTTGCAGTCCTCTTGGGGGTGTGAATCCCACCTGCATGATGTATGTTGTGTCCTTGTTCTTCCCGTCTTGTGTGGGTACAAAGACATGTAGTTAAGCTAATTGGTGCCCCTCTATTGACCATTGCGCGTGTCTGTCCCCTGTAATGGACTGGAATCCCAACCTGGTTGCAGTGCTGGGATTGCAGTGCACCCAGGCCTGCAACCATGACCAAGATAAATGAAGCATCTGCCATCATCCCAGTCGTTAAGTTCATAGTGTTTACCCTCCATTTGGCTTTGGCAAAGTTTTTCTTGAATTGGGCGCAAACTCCGTCTCTCAGATTTTTTTCCGAGGCCCCCTGGCCTGCGATCCTGAAACACACACATATTTTTAGATTGACCCCTCAAGAACTGACTAGAACTTAGTATAATGATCTAAGTATGACCAAAACGGCAACTGAACTTCCAACTTTTGAAAGTATTTTTCAATCACTGTATTGTGAGTTATTTTTAAGAACTTACAGTCAAAATATTTATATAAAACACCAGAAAATATGACACACAAACCATAATCTAGTTCTTTGAAGTAGTTCCATTGTGTTTGTATGAGGTTTCTCCCACTGGCGAGCCATATCAGAATGTATTATGAAGGATTTCTTTTTACTATTTTCCTTTATTGCATCACAGTCCATGACAAACGATGCAGGTTTCAGACCTTCTCCACACCAATCATCGTCAGAGCCAGAGATCATATTCAGTTAATCCGGTTTGACGTCATGTTCAGTAACTGTCTAAAAGCTATGTGATAATACAGCTGACGAGAGTGGAAAATAGCATATGTGTTAGCATTACATTGGGGGAGCTCACCAGTCATGAGTCAAAGCATTCTGCGCTGTGACTCTCAGCATGGGGTCCACCTCCATCAACTTGCACACGAGTTCTTTTGCTGTGAGAAAAACAAACTCAAATGAAGCTTTGTGGTTTATTACTGTTGGTGATTATCCACAAGAAAAATTAGGTTACAGGAATGTATACGATTTTTTTGCTAGCTTGTGTTTACGTAACTTTTGTGTGTGTCTAAAATCAATGAAGAACTGGTCACAAATCATGCACTGTGAAAATCAATCCAGTACCTTGATGAATGATGCTCCTTTCAAATGTTCATCTGTTTCAAGCAGCCAGACAAGTAAAATAAACCTTGCTACCTAAAGGTGCCCAGCCAGGATTGACTCTTTCATGTCTGTCATTTTAAGCCCACGGTAGAATATTGCTGTGTTCTATTCTTGAAACTACCAAATTTATTTCTGTCATTGTTTTGTATCCATATCTGCTCAATGCAAATAATTACACAGAACACAAAACAGACAGCAATAAATTTGAAAGTGGTGCATAATTCAATTGATGTTTATTTTAAAATAGTACCAAAAATGTATATATTTGCATATAGTCAAATATAGTTAAAATACTTTTTACATTCAACATCCCTCTGTGTCAATCTGTGTGCTTTCAGCACTGACTGACTGCTTACCTGCAGGAGATATGTCATCCCAGTAGGGGGAGTCAAACTCAAACTCTCCAGCCACGATACGACGGAAGAGTATGCGGTTGTGCTGATCGGTGTCGTCTTCCTCGGTTTCGTCGTAGAATGGAGGATTTCCAGACAAGCTGATGGATGAGTGGTTTTTAGAAATCAGTCACAGGCAACACTTCAAGTAGGAGAGGGCATGAAACACAACGATACAGCTATCAGTGACATTTTACGTCTGTGTAATACTGGGGAATGTACTGACAATCTTCTTCTACCTGGTGGGCACTCACAGTATGAACATGATGACACCAACAGCCCAGCAGTCAATCGGGCAACCATACCGACGCCGGGCCACGACTTCGGGTGCTGAGACGAGAAAGCATGACAAAGGGTATCAGAATCAGAATTTATTAGCCAGGTAGAACTGCATGTACTAGCAATTTATTTTGGGAGTATTGATGCTTACGTTAAGAGATAACATAGAAGAACAAAGAACATAAGAAAAATACATAAGTAGAATTAAAATAATAGAATAATTGAATAAAATAGCACAGAGCAGTGCAAGCTGTCCAATATACTAACAATAATTATAAAGACAACAGAAGGAACAGAGGTATATTGAATATTGAAATGTAAAAGTATGAAATTATATGATGTCCAGTAGAAGAAAAAGATGTACAAAGATGCATGCAGAGTAGTGGGGGAGTAACAGAGGCAGGGACTGTGTCAGCGGGGGTCGGGGGGGGGGGCTTGTTAATGAGTTCAACTGCTGAAGGAAAGAAGCTGTGTTTGTAGCACGTGGTTCTGGGTTTGATAGAGAGTCTCTTGCCGGAGGGTAGTTTTTTGAGCAGGATGTGAGGGATACAAAGTACATCGTGTTCATGTAGATCTGCCAGCTGAGTAGTAATAACGAGATGAAGGTTGGACTGAATGGCATCTACTGCATATAGGCTGATAGGTGGACAGACAAAAGAGAGAGAGACTTACCCAGGTACTCAGGGGTGCCACACGGCTCTGTGATACCGTTATTTTCAAACCTCGACAAGTAGAAGTCGCGGAGTACCACTTTGTTGTGGTTATTTTCTGTGTAATATATAAGATTCTCCAGCTGAAGACACAAGAAAATATATAAAAATATATATAACATCCATCCATCTTCTGTACCCGCTTGTCCTATGCAGGGTCGTGGGAGTCCGGAGCCTATCCCGGGAATTATGGGCGCAAGGCAGGGAATAACCCAGGATGGGGCGCCAACCCAATGCAGAGAACACATGCATACATTCACACCTGTAGGTAACTCCAATGTACCTTAGTCTTTTTTTCTAGGACAGTGGGGGGAAGCCAGAGAACCCAGAGAACCCCACTATGAGACAGGGAGAGACTGCAAACTCCATATACATGGAGCTATGGTGGAGATTCGAACCCTGGTCCCAGAGGCAACAGTGCTTTCCCTTGTAGTAAAATCCCTCTTTATAAGCCCTGATTTATAGGGGCAGGCCTCACATAAAACATATATAGGGAATATGAGAAACTGTACCATGAGTCTGCTGTCACTATAAATCATAAAGGGATTATGGTCTATATAAGCATCTATCCTGTAACATGTGCATGTAAAAATCTTAAAAGCACTACATATAAGGAGGATTAAATCTCTAAAGGTGGCTTCAACATCATGGAGAAAACGAAATGAAGTTTCCAAACCGCCAGCTGTCAAAAGTATTCTAGGGGGTATCTTGATGGCTGTTGCTTTCACACGAATTTATTGGAAAAGTGAGCAAATCGTATGAGAGGGATCAGTATGTCTCTGAAGTGGAGGCTGATGAATGGGCTGCTCTCCATCGCCTTCACGAGCCTACTGACCTGGGAACAGAGGCGTAACCGCTTCTGTGAGTGAGAAAGAGAGTGGGTTTGTGGCCTTTTATCCCAATAAAAGGTGTATCCTTGTTTTTTTTCCTCCCTTTGAAAATAATTTAGCTGAAGCAGCCTAGAAACTTTATTTCTGAGCCTTTGTGTAAAACTTGCGTTTAGAATACTGCCAACTGTCGGGAAACAATTATGCATAATTGTGTTAATATGATAATTCCTCGGATTATAAATAACAAGTATATTACATTTCCCATCTGAATAATCAGCTACCCAACAGCTGCCGTTGCATTCTTGGTGGAGAGCTTTTCAGTTTTCCGAAGTCTTACTCAGAAGAAACAAGGGAATGGATCCAGACAACAAATAATTACATAATAATTATGTAATTACATACAAGGGCGTAGGTTTTATTATAACATTGGGAAATGGGGGGCATTACCGTCATAACCTGTGAAAATTACGTAAAATTCCATATTCATTTTTTACAAGACTTTTAAAGGGACAAATTAACAAAGAAAAATCCCCCCCCCCACCACCAAAGATCGTACACTTATATAAGAGGAAAAGGATGAATTGGAAAAATACATAAGCCCTTCTGCAAGGGACAGTCATAAAATATGGAGGCTGGTTTTCCTGTGATGATCACTTCTGTTACCTTGACAGACATCCCACCTCCCCTGGAAGTTCTGGGAGTCTCCTGCAATTTGTCAGCAGCTTCCTAACACCTGCTAATTATGTGCAATATCCTACAAATATATCCACAGAGAAATAAAACTGATGTCATGAAGGGGCGTGGCTACAGGTGGGCAGGGTGGGACTGCCTGCTCACCCAAGATATTCCAACCCCTAAGCTGACAAATTGTCATATTGGCGAGCACATTTTTCACATAGACACGGTATATAAGTATGTGACATATACTGAATATTGTATTGTCACTAACAATAAACTGTCTGTATGAAAAGAAATGTTCAAAGCCCCAGAATTGATCATTTCAATTGTGAAAAAAACATAATCACAATGTCAGTAATCACAATATGAGCAAATGCATCAAAGACTGACTACCTTATTTAATACTCAGCTTAGCTTTTGACCAGCGAGTGTGATAGAGTGCTGATACTGGTAACAAATGCAACATTTTTGCATTTTATTTACTGGTGGACACTTTGATCCAAAGCAACTTACATATTATTGTGAAAGCAGGGTCAGACGGCCCCTGGCATGGTTGGGGGTTAGGGGCCTTCCTCAAGGGCCCAACAGCAAAACCTCTGCAGACCCAGGGATTAGAACCGGTGACCTTCTGATCACAACCAGGTAACCTAATGTTCACCTCCAGGTATAATCTCAACACACATGCATGCCAATAGTTAACTACTTTTATAGACAGTATCTTAAGATAAAGTGGTCTTTATTTACATGTGTAGTTTTGTTTTAAATATGGCCTGCACAGGCCACACAGTGGCTGTATTTGTCACTAACGTCCCGTACAATATGAAGAAGTCGGACGCACAGGCACCATCTGGACACCCAGCACACCCAAACTCAGCAGACGCCAGTCCTTCTAGCTAAGCTGAAGTGATTCAAGCTCACCTTCAGGTTCCTGTGGACGATGCTGAGTGAGTGTAGGTAGGACGCGGCCTCCAGCACCTGCCGGATGACACAGGAGGCGTCCCTCTCAGTGTAGTTTCCCTGGTCCAGAATCCAGTCAAACACGTCGCCCCCTGTAGCCCTGGAGTAGCCACACAAAGTCAGGTCAAGTGGGAATTACTATCGTACCATCCATATACAGGTATATAGTGGCATGATGTAGCGTCCTCACAGGAGCACGATGTCACATACTACATCAGTGACGGGGGGGGGAGAGTTAAAGTACAAAACAGAGCACAGGGCAAAAAGAGGGGGGCTAGTGGCAATGTGTATGTGTGTAAACAAGAAGTAAGACAGCAACAGCATAACAAGGTGGAATAATCTAACAACTAACAAGATTTTTATTACAATGCAAATTGCTTGGAGCACTAAAGAATATTGAAGTGAACTGTTACTGAATGGGGTTACTATTTACTATCAGTGACTGTCTACTTTAACACAATGGAAGCCAGTAAAACAACCAATAAGAAATGGATTAAAGAGGTAACTGATTGACAGGGCATGTTAATCCCACCCACTGCGGCCTCTTTACTCCACTGCCGCCGAAGCAGGTTAACACCTGTGTGATGTCATACTTTCAGGGACCTCTACTTTCTCCACGCAGTGGGTTCCTACTCCATGAGAGTAATGAATTGTCTTTTTCATATATATGTTGATGCTGATGAATTTGTGTGAGTATTTTTAGCTCAGGTCAAGTCAGCTAAAAAAAAAAAACGGAGAACGGAAGAGAAAATTTGCACGGCAAATGGCAAAGAAAACTATGCAGGGATGAAATTGGGGCAAGTACAATGCAAGCTGAAACACAAATATACCTCATCTGTTAGCAGACCCACCTGGCTAACATGCTAATGTGCCATTTTCTGCACAAGATAGACCTATGAAGCCCTCAGACTAATTAACTGAAGGAGTTTAATAACATCCATCCTTTTCCTGGTGGGGCTTTAATTAACAACACATTGTTTGCTCACATTATTAGGTCTAGTAGTAATGAAAAATGAGCAAAACCCCTGTTTGAGTTTCTGAAGAGAAAAATGATAGATAGATAGATAGATAGATAGATAGATAGATAGATAGATAGATAGATAGATAGATAAAATGAAAGAAAGAAAGAAACTCACAACTCTTGCATAATGAAGTATTCCTTCCTGGTCTCAAATGTATCAATCAGTTGTAGTATATTAGGGTGCCTCACCCTGAAAAAAGGTTTATAATAAAAAAAAACGTTTAAAAAGAGCAGCACATTTCACATGCACACATAAACTGGTATGAGCCCAATCATATGATATATACCCCAGCATTACTGAAGCAAGTTAAAAAATGGAGAAAAATCTATGCAGCATAACTGTTATATGTTGTAGGGGCTTATACACTAAAAATCTGCTTTTCGTATATAAATATTTGGTATTACTGAGTTTTAGAATATAAATATTTTTAATACAAATTACTATTAAATTAATACTGCTACCACTATATAAGTACTAGGGAGAAAAAGCAAGAAGTATTAATGAACTAATAATAAAACTTTCTACTTTCTATAAAAGTATTACTTAGTAATGCTACTATAATACTACTGCAATACTACAAACATGAGTACTTCTCAAAGTGCTACAAGTTGTACCACTGAAAGTATAGCTGCAGTCAGAGGTGCAAGCTTTCCTTTAATGGCCATTCTCAGACTGTCGCCTCTTACATGTTCAGAATCATGATCTCATTCTTAGCTGCTTTGCGCACTTTCTTTCCATCTTTCTTGAGGAATTTCTTGCAGAAGAAGACCTTGCTGGTAAGCCGCTCCTTTGCCACGCAGAGCTCACAAAACTCTTTCCTACAGAGGAATCGAGACAAGACACATCGGGAAACATCTGAAGGAGGGGATTTTGGCAGAGACCAGGTAGCAAGTTGAGCAGGAAAATTGTTTTTTAATGACTATATATAAACTTGTGTTTCAAAGAGAAATGATTTGCGGGCTAGGAAATAGACCATGAGTGAACACCTAGTGAATTTCAATATGTTAAATAAAAGCATTCTACATCCAGCTTTGCATTGATATTCTGGCATGTATGGCGCTAAACCAGTGCCATTTTGGTTAAGCAGTCGGCCTGCTGGTGACAAACATTTCATAATTAGTAGATATATGTTGGCTGCTCTACATTGTTAGAGCATATTCAACGTGCAGCTTTGCACAGCATTGGGATACTGAAAGTATTCCAATTTGAACTGAAACTGAAAGAGGTTCTGATTTTGTATTTCTCTGATAGATACTCACACCCTGAGTGTGTGTCTGCTTTGGTATAGCTCTGATGGATACTCAAACCCTGAGTGTGTGCCTGAGTTGGTATTTCTCTGACGGATACTCACACCATGAGTGTGTGTCTGATTTGGTATTTCTCTGATGGATACTCAAACCTTGAGTGTGTGCCTGAGTTGGTATTTCTCTGACGGATACTCCCACCATGAGTGTGTGTCTGATTTGGTATTTCTCTGATGGATACTCAAACCTTGAGTGT